AGGGCACCCAGCCCCAGTGAGCACCCACCCGGAGGGCACCCACCCCAGCGAGCACCCAGTCCCGGCGAGCACCCGGCCGTTCTCAAGCAGGAGACACCCAGCCCCGTCTCCCAGTGTGAATCCCGTGAGCAGGAAAACCGAAGATGCAGGAGGTAAGTAGGGCGCAGCTCGGAGGGGCCGGGCGGGGGGGTGGGTGGGGCGCAGGAGGGCCCGAGAGGTCAGGAGGGACCCGAGCTGTGCACGGTCCCCGAGGGGCGACTAGGCCCGCCTGGAGGGGTTCAAGGATCGCGGGACATCGATCACGTTCACAGAACCGGGACCAAGCGCTTTAAAAGGAAATGGGTTAATTCCTGAAAACCACCCATGTGTGGGCGTGTGAGCCCGTGTGTGCGCGTGTGACATCAACCGAGAAAGCGTCCCTGCTCTACTTGGAAGTGACGGGACTTAGAATCCACGGTCCCGTCCGGAGTGGCCTGCTCCCTGCTCCCGGGAGGTCCACTCCATCTGCGCCCTGCGTCAGGGCGGTCCGGAGAAACAAAACAAAAAAATGAGCACCAGCCACTGAGTTTTCTGAGTGTCTTACCCCTGGTGCCTTATTTCTGTTTATTCTCTTGGACTCGTTCAATTCTATGACAATGGAAAACACTTCACATATCTACCCCCCCCACCCCTGCCATCTTCTTCTTACTATAGAAATCTTGCACGATCATTTTCAATTTCACATGAAAAAAAAAAAATTCCCTTCGGGGTTTTAGAATTGCAAGTTATCAGAAGTAAACAAGCAAACAGAACACTTGTCTAAACGTTTAAAGAACATTCGTATGTAAAAAAAATTCCCTTCCTTTTTTGTTTGTTCAAAAAGGCAAACACATCTGAATTTTTTTTTTTAAGATTTTATTTATTTACTCATGAGAGACCCAGAGAGAGGCAGAGACACAGGCCGAGGGAGAAGCAGGCCCACGCAGGGAGCCTGACGCGGGACTCGATCCCAGGACCCCGGGGTCACGCCCTGGGCCGACGGCAGACGCTCAACCGTGGAGCCCCCCCCCCCCCGGGATCCCCCGCATCTGAATTTTTAAACACCCAACCCTGTAAGTCAACCGGAAGGACCACTGCTGTTGGGTGAGCACCGAAAACAGGATTTTAGACTTGGGTCATTTCTTCACTTCTAATTTGTGTGAAAGAACCTTCCTGAACTTTCCCTTTCCATACCTAGTAATTAAACCATTACTCTGACTGGAGCAATTAGAGGTGAGTATTTTGTAAAAACAAAAGTAATGGGAGAGACTTTACACTGGCGGACACAGCCAGATTAGGGACTGCCGGCAGCAACCCGTCACCCACAACACAGGACTCCGTGTGAAATCACAAAGGAATCTAAGACAACACACTTCAACTAAAAAGAAACAAACACACGATGGAAAACAAAAGCAGAGGGAGGCTGGATTACTTCTCTCCCACATAGTCCCACACAACTCTCCCTTAAACTGGAGAAATGGTCCCATCTGCACCAGAATTAAGTCTTGGCAGCTACATACGAGAAGGTAACCTGAGCTCTTTTGGTGTTTCATCTTGAAAATGAAAAATCAGCATGGCGCCTTTGAGAAATCAGGATAATTTGCCCCAGAGAAGTGTGCCCCTTCTGGCACGAGCGTCCTTTGGAGCCTCGACCTGTCACTTCTCAGAGGGCAGGGTTCAACCGCTTCCGCCCAACGAGCTCTGACCAGGGGGGAAGGCACCTTGTTGGAAGGAAGCACGTCACTTCAAACATGGCAACACGACTAGATATTCTTGGAAATCTATTGATTTCAAATGCTTCCCCTTGGGCAGCCCGGGGGGGGGGGGGGGGCTCGGCGGCTTAGCCCCGCCTTCAGCCCAGGGCCTGCTCCTGGAGACCCAGGATCAAGTCCCACATCGGGCTCCCTGCATGGAGCCTGCTTCCCCCTCTGCCTGTGTCTCTGCCTTTCTGTCTCTCTGTTTCTCATGAGCAAATAAATAAAATCTTCAAAAAAAAAAAATGCTTCCCCTTCTCTGTCCGGCTTCGTCTAAGCCCTTGTAAAGTCAACATCGTCCTTTGAAACAACCAATTCAACGGCAAAGACTTGCAAGTTAGATGATACCCTGTGCAGAAGGTTACCTGTAGGCAGCTACGTATGCAGAGCGTTACCTGTGCAGAAACGCTCATGATTCCAGGCACCTGGCAGGTCAGCAGAGTCTCACTGAGGCTACAGCTCCGCTTCACACCTGTTGGAGAACATGTGTTTATACAGAAAATCCGGTGAACTGTGACTAAGGAGAGCAGTGATTCTCGACCTCAGAGCTGCCCACTGGGGTGCTTACTAAAATGTCGATGTATTTAGGCACCCAGCCCACCCCTGGGATTGAGTCATATTTTTTCTGCTGTTGTTTTCTTTTTAACAACTGTTTCAGGAGATTTTTGATGAGGTGGTGTAAACTTTTTAAAAGAAATATAATTCAGTAAAACTCAACTTTTATGTATTGGATCTGGCTCACAATTCTTTACATGAGTCAAGTAGGGGGTAATCATTAACCATATCTTCTTAATCAACAAGGAAGTGACTTTCAAAAAAAGATTAATAGGCTTTGTTTTTGAGCAGTTTTAGGATTACAGGAGGTTTGAAGGGGAAGTGTCCCCTCACTGTCTCCCTCTCCCCAGTGTCCTCGAACACCAACCTGTTGTATTAGTGCGGCACGTTCGTTACAGTCGATGAGCCAGTACTGGAAAGTGACTTTGAAACGACAGGGCCGGCCCAGGCCGCACAGAACATTAGTGGCCGGGTTGTGCTGGGAACCAGGCCACACCCACACACTCGCTTGAACAAGCAGCCTGGTGATTTCTCTCGAGAGATGTTCCCTACAGATTAACGCCGTAATGACGGTAATTGTTTTTTGCGCCAGTATCTGAGCACCGGTGGCAGCCAGGGCTCAATTGACTAAGCACGTTGGTTGGTGCCAGGGATTGCTGGTCTTTATCCTGGCTCCATCTTAATTTTCCTTGCAACCCTGGGACGCAAGCTTCCACGGCTGAAGCATGTAAACCTGTGAAGCGTGTAAACCGGGGCCCTGGGAGAGCCCACAATCACTGATTTATACTTTGACTCTTTCCAAAGGCAAGTGGGGGTGGGTGTGAGGATATTTATGCTGAAGCACTGCTCTGAGATTCAGGTTTTCACATGAGGAATAGCAGAGAGGACGCTTCAACCATTCATCCTCGGCGACAGGCTGGGGATACAAATTTCAAAGCACAGTTCAGGGGCGGGACAGCAATAAAAAGACCCTTAAAACATACAGTTTCAACAGTCTTAGGAAGAAGGCACACCCAGTGGTTAGGTGGGGCTGGAAGCTGGATGAGTGGCCTGGCATTTCCGGGAAGGCTTCCTTCCCCCTGGAAGATGGGCCTTTCTGACTTGAGTCTTAAAGGAGGAGGAGCAGTGGGCAAACCCCCTGGAGAGGGCCTCACACCCCCTGTGGTGAAGAACCAGCCCCTTTTTGCTTCCAGTTCTCCAGGTACTGATAGGAGGACCCCGCGGTGCCGGGGGTGAGTCACCAGCAAGCCTGACAAACACCAAGACTGGTTTACACTCGGTTCAAGGAGCCCACCGATCATTTGCTCGGCTCCTGTGGCATTTTTCAAATTGCTGCAAAAGTTCCTGAACCTTTGCTCTCAGTGTTTTCTACCTGCTGCAGGCAGGCTGCGGTTCGCGGGCCGGCACGGGGCCAGGTGCCCTGCAAGCTCGCTGGAAAGGCCCCGCTGAATCCCAGGCCGCCTTTTAAGGAGCTTCCCAGGTGAGGCCCGGGCGCGCTCAGGTTGGAGCACCTGCCCTAGAGGAACCATATCAGGCGGATCTGATCCTTCATCCATCTCACTTGCCTTTGCCTGTTCCTTTTGGGTCTAGGGGGAGGCTACCTGCGGAGCAGTGGCCTGGCCTCTTCCAGGTCACGAAACCGCATTCCTCCGCCCGCCCCCCGGGGCGCCAGGAAAACGTCCTTTAACGTGACTGCGAGGGAGAAACCCGAGACGGGGGCAGCTTCCGGAGCCCGGAGCAGCCTCGCTCCTCCGCTTTGATCCGGCGCAGCAGCCGCGCAGCCCCGCCGCCCGCGCTGCCTCCCCGGGCTCGCTCCTCCGCCCGCCGCATTAGTGAGCTCCGCGCGCAGCCCCGCCGGGGTCCCGCGAAGATCAAAGGCCCGAAGGAATCCGCAGCCCCTCCTCCCCGGCGACTCCTGGGTCTCTACCACCCGAGGGGAGAGTCCGCTGCCCCGCCCCCTGCCCGGCCGGGGCGGGGGCCGGGGCGGGGGCAGCGCGGGCCTCGCCTTCCCCTCCCGCCGCCCGGCCCGAGCCGGCCCCGCGCGGAGTGGGCGGGGCTAGCGCTCCCGGGGGGGCGGGGCCAGCGCTCCGGGGGCGGGGCGAGCCGGGCGGGCGGCCGCTTGGCGGGGAGGGGGCGGGGCCAATGCTCCTGGAGGGGCGGGGCGAGGCGGACGCGCTGGGAAGGCGGCTGGGTGGTCGGGACTAGACCCTGGGTGGGGCGGGGCGAGGGGCGGAGCGAGGGCGGGGCCAGCGCTGCTGGGGGGACGGGGCGAGGCGGGCGAGCCGGGAAGACGGCCGGGTGGGCGGGACTCGGCTCCTGGAGGGGCGTGGCCAGCGCTCCTGGAGGGGCGGGGCGAGGCGGGCGAGCCGGGAAGGCGGCCTGGTGGGCGTGTCGGTGGGCGTGTCGGTGGGCGTGTCGAGGGCGTGGCCAGCGCTGCGCTCTGCCCGGCTGGGAGCCGCGGGGAGCCCGCCGAGCCCAGGCGCCCGAACCCTCGCGGCGGCCGCGCTCGCGCCGGGAGAGCCGCTCCGTCTCGCCTGGCGGGCCCCGGCCCCTGTCCCGGCGGCGGGCGCCTCGGGCCGGAGCGCAGACGGCGGGGCGCGCCCCCAGGCCCCCGGCGCGGTGCCCCAGCCCCAGCCGCAGCCGCAGCCCCAGCTCCAGCCGCAGCCGCAGCCGCAGCCCGGGGAAGCATGTGCCTCGAGCCGTTCCCCGCTGGCGAGCGCTGCGCCCAGGAGTAGGGAACTTGGCGGCCGCGAGACAAAGGCTGCGGCCGGGACGGATGAGTTAGAGACTCGGGTTTGGGCGAACAAAAGGTGCGGACGCGAGGAGGCAGCGGCGATGGCGGCGGGGGCGCCCCGCGGGCTCGGGGCCCTGGGGCGCGCGGCGTGACCCGCTGGGGGCCCGGGGCCGAGCCGGGACGCGGCCCCGCGGGCCGGGAGCGCCCGGAACAATGGACAACTTCTTCCCCGCGGTGAGTGCGCCGCGCCGGCCCGCGGGGACCCTGCGCTCGCCCGGGGGTCGCCCCTTCCCCGGGGCGCGCGGGGGCGCGCGGGGGGGCGCGGGGGGACGCGGGGGGACGCGGGGGGACGCGCCTCCGCGGGGAAGCCCTGGCCCGGCGCCTGCTCTGCGGGACGAGCCGGCTCCCTGCGAGTGCGCCCCGGGTCGCCGCGCCGGCCGGCCGGCCTCGTGCCCTCCGCGGATTTCCAGCCCGGAGCGCGCAGACGATGCCCTTTCGGGCAAACGGACGCTCCCTAAAGGCCGGGCCCCCCCTCCCCCTCCTCTCCCCTCCCCTCCCCTCCCCTCCTCTCCCCTCCCCCTCCCCCTCCCCGGGGGACCTGAGGCCCCCGCCCCCGCCCTCCCCGGGCCCCGGGGCGCACTGCCCTCCCGGCCCCCTTCCCCTTCCCCTTCCCCTTCCCTTCCCGCTTGTGTTTATTCAGTGAATTCTGCTTACGCTTGAGGTCTGAAGCGGCGCGGAGTGAGCTCGGTTGACTCAGGGCGCCCGGTGTGACTTTCGTTGAAAGCCCCGGGGAGGGCGGGCTCGTGAGCCCAGGCCCAGCTTTGGGGGCGGCTGCGGCCAAGTGCGGGGCTGAGGGCTGGCCCCAGCGCGCGTTGTCAGGCTTGAGTGGAGGTGCTACCTGCAGCCTGGCTCACCTGCCCGATGCTCCCTTACTGCGCTCTAAGGCCCCTGGTTTGAGTGGCCAAAGTGATATGATCTTGAGCCCTAGCCACGTCCCCCCTTCCTCAAAGGGGCATCTCCTCTGTGACACCCACACCTGCGGCCACAGGCAGGCTGGAAAGGAATCCGTCCTCCATGGATTCCTATGTCTTCGAGAAATCTATGGTTGAGCCTTCCTTCCTTGTTCTTTTTGCATATTATTATTGATTATTATCGTTTTGCTCCATAGACCTTTGTGGTCGTCAAGGGGAGAAAGCAACCGAAACTTTTTATAGGAGTTGCAGGTTAACCAAGCATGCAGGACCAGTGGGCTGTGTTTTAATTGCTTTCCTCTGGAAGAAGACCTAGGCTCTCCTAATTCGTTTAATTTTCTTTTTTTTTTTTTTTTTTGTTTTTACTTTTTTTAGTTCTGTGTTATGGGACCCTTGGGAAAGCTCTTGAGACACAGGATTTGTGTCCAGTTAGTTGGGGTTTCCAGGCCCCCTCCCACCCCCCGTGGGCCTGGGGGGCAGGGAGGGGAGGGCCCCCACCTTGGGGCGAGCTCTGCCCTCTAGTGCAAGTGGGGAAAACTGTAGGGGAGCGTGCTCAGTAGGCCACCACCTGCCCTCCCCTCCTCTCCTTGAAATTCCCTCCTCTTCTTGGGGACTTGGGACCTTAGCTCCTTAGTTCGGGGTAAGGAGGCATGGTGCTTCATTTCTGTGATCAGTATATGCTATTGAAGGCGGCCTTTGGGATCCCTGGGTGGCGCAGCGGTTTGGCGCCTGCCTTTGGCCCAGGGCACGATCCTGGTGCCGGTGCATGGAGCCTGCTTCTCCCTCCTCCTGTGTCTCTGCCTCTCTCTCTCTCTCTCTCTCTCTGTGACTATCATAAATAAATAAAAATAAAAAAAAATTTGAAGTCGGCCTTTGGCGACCCTTACTCCCTCCCCCATTTCCTAGATGCTTGACTCTTAACCTAAAGATGTTAAGTCACTTGCCCAACCTTGAGCTTTTTTTTTTTATAGAATCCGGAGTCGTTTTTCTCTCTTGCTGGGGACTTGAGGTTTTTTTTTTTTTTTTTTTTTTTTTTTTTTGGTGGGAGGATGTTCATTTCTTTAAAGTCATACTTTTCATCTTGTGGGGTATTTGTATCCTAATGTTTCTAATCAACCTTCCAAGTTCCATCCCTGACTGTGATCACTTTGAGCGGGAGGCTGTAAGGGCGGAGAGCCCGCTCGGTGCTGTTTTAATTGGAGACCAACTCCTAACAAAGATCCCGTCTCCTTCTGTTTCTGTCTTGTAACAGACCGTCCTTTTGTTAAGGTTTCATCAGTTATCCCAGTGAGGTCAATCATGTGGGAGTAGCCACAGCCAGGGGGGCAGTGCTAGGTTTCCAAGGACCACAAAACTATGGGGATTCAGCCCCAAGTCATGTCCTGGTAACCGGTGTCTTTGCTCACTTTTTCCGTCCTGATTTAGGCATAATGACTTGTTGCTTGTTGGGCAACAGTTTGAAGCTAACACTGGCAACTGGGGCATTAAAAAAAAAAGTGAACAAGATGTTGCATGATTAGCTTTCTGGTGACTATAGCCAGATAATAACAAAGTGGGAGCTACCTCTGAGTAGCAGCTGCTGTTTAGAGCCAGGCCAGGGTTTCTCAAACTGGGTGCCATTGACATTTGGGGGCCAGTTCATTCTTTGGTGTTGGGAGGCCGTCCTGTGCCCGGAAGGATGTTGAGCACCTTCCCTGGCCCCCACCCACTAGGTGCGAATAGCGCCCCCAACTTGTGACAACTGAAATGTGTGCGGACGTTGCCAAATGAGCCAGGGGGAGCAAAATCACTCCCAGTCGAGAACCCCTGAGCTAGCCCACTCGAGCCTGGCTCGTGGCATTAATTCCTGTGCGTGCTGGAAGCGCCGCGTTCTTGCCTGCGCTTGCCTGCCCTAAATAGCATCAGGCCTTTTACCGCTGGCCACTGAGATGCTTGGGCGGCTTGTTCCATCTGCCCGTGGCCGTTGACTTCTAGGCGTTCCCCGGGACTGCAGAGCAGAGGCTGAGTCCCCCCCACCCCCAACTAGAGTTGCAGTTCCTTCATGACCTTACATTTTTATGGCTGCTCTCAATTAAGTTGTGTGCACGCTTCTGGGAACACTTGTGTTTTCGGCATTAGGAGGTAGGTTGTTAAAAAGTTTACTTAGGTGGAAACTAAGTTGAGGCAGGTCCATAACCGGAAGCGATTTTTTTTTAAAGCAAACAGAAAAGGCTCAACCCAGTGGCAAGCCTGTTTTGCAGACATGTTGATATTTTGAAGTGGATGCCCAAGCACAGCACCTAGGGTGCTAGAGGGGCCCGTAAGCACCCGTCGATCACGTCAATGAGCTGGACTCTTCTGTCTTCTATTTTAGGAATCGGTGTGGCCTACTGGCTGTTCAGACAAAAGCCCTTTTGAGGATGGTTAATGGAACTTACACGAATGCTTTGAGTTTTCAGAATATGCAAAACGTACACCAGTACGCTCACAAATACAAATATAGAAAGCAGGTCATAACGGCCTTAAGACTGGACCTGCCCCTGAAGACACGCCAGCTGCGCCTGTTTCTTAACGACCTGGTTCACGCGCAGGATGTTAAGTGGAATCACCTTCCTTGTTTCCCCTCCATTTGCCAAAGTGTCTTGGTTTTGGTTGTTAATGAGGAGTTCAAATAGCTTTTAAAGCTGGAAAGGGTTCTTTGAGCCCAATTTTCTCCTCTTTTCATAGTATTTCTGTCTCGTTTTGGATCTTGGTGATAGGTATTGTCTTGTTCTAAAAACAAACAAACAAAAAGATTTAAGACTGTTACTTTTGGGAGCTCCTTCCCTTCTCCCCAGATCCTCTCTCGAGGGCAGGAGGGACGTGCCGAGGAGGACTTCCTTGTTCCATCAGATCCTGAAAGTGATCCCTTGGACAACTGTCAAACACAATCAGACCATTTGCTGGTATCTTCTTTTCTCCCAGGGGAGTTCGAGTGTCTCGCCTTTTCTGCACACTCTATAAAGATTCCTATTGTCAAATACTCATTTCTCGGCCCCTGCCAATTTGGGGACAGCACAGCCCCCCCCCCCACCCCGGAGCAGCTGCAAGCAGGCCAGTTGTTGCGGGCAGGGAGCCCTGATCTCCGTGGCCTGGCAGGCAAGGGCTGCTCCCTGCTGTCCTCACCTCTCACATCAGGCACAGCCCCGCGTGGGAGGCGGGGCCCTCCGTCTCTAACCAGGGTGGTGGCAGGAGAGAGCCGTGTTTGCTTTTCCAGCTCTGCTGGCTTTCCATGGGGTCACCTTGAAGGACAAGACCCTTGAATGTGCTCTTCTGTTGAAACTGGCAGGAAATGGGATGCTTCTTTTTTTTTTTATTTTTAAGATTTTTTTTTTTTTATTGAAGTTAAGGTACAGTGTTGTTAGTGTCAGGCATACGATATGGATATGATTCAACACTCCTTTGTGTGAGTGCTCATCATGATTAAGTGGGCTCTTAACCCCCTCTACTGCTCTCTGTCAAGGATGCCTTATCAGTGGGTTTCAAAGGTTGGCATGCAGGGTAACTGCGGCACGAGCTTTTCAAGTCACCTGCGGGGAACATTCAGGAACGAGCAACCAGTGACTCCACGTTCACTCGGCCGTACTTCCCCACCCCAAAGTGCCCCTGCTGGAATGAAAAGTGCCTCATCCTTAAAAGTAGAGAAGATGTGGCTTTTGGAAACCCGGCAACCACCCCCTCGCCTGTGGGATCTTGGGTTTTCTGACCTTGCTGGGCTTTATTTCTGTGGGCACAGGGGTGTCCACCTTGCGTGACTCTTAGAATTTGAGAGATTTCCAGAGCGGTTGGCACGTGGCAGGTGGGTAGTGGCTCAGAGTGAGAGGATGGAACCCCAGGGTTCAGTGGTGAGGGAGGCCGTGGCCTCAGAGCTGGGCCCCAAATCATCCCTTGTGCTGCATTGCACGTATGTTTCTCTCCCTTTCGACCTGTAGCCTTCTGGCAGATTTTGCCTTTCCAGAATTTTGTCTGGAGCATGTCCGTATCGCTAGTAAAATCAGGCTCACATTCCTCAGTTGGATTTTCCAGGCCCTCTGATCTGACATCTCTTCACTCCTTTTCCCTCGTGACTTCTTCTCCGGGGAACCCCCAGGCTTCTGTGCTGTCCCCTCTGCGCATCGGGTGCCCTCCCTGGTAGCTGCCTGTTGAGACCAGCGCTGGCGGCTCTGGTTGATCGTGACCCCTACCTCTCCTCCTTCCCCCTGAACGTGGCTCCTCCTCTTTCTGTCCTGGCCTGGTTAGGATTTT